TGTCAAAATATTAACTTTTCAATTATTTATTCATTATCATCTACTTCAAAAATAAGTATATGGTTTGTTTACATGTAGAGTGGGAGACAAAGTCTATGCTATATGATACATAGTACAACACAGGAGTTGCATTGTATGCTTTTCTTTATTTGCTCTCTGTATGTCCACATAATAGCGGATTCGGGTCAACCTAAAGTTAAGTGTGAAAGCCTTCTGGTGTCTTGCATCTCACAGGAATCACTTGGCAGTCATGCGCATGACGTGCTTGACCATGTTCCTGATGCCATCAAAGATGTAATGGTAGTGATAGTCAGTCTCCCACATGAAGGTTGGAGTGCTGATCACCTTGTTTTTCTCATCCACATAGGCCTCGTGAGATGGGCAGTTAAGGGAAAAATCACGTTTTACACTTTAAAAAATGAATAAGAAGTTAAAAAAATGTTAAAAATGACAGTGAAAGGATATGTAAGGTTCGCGGGTGTTGTGACGGGCCCCCATGCTCTTGACCGCCTGCACCATGGTGGTGTTGGGCCAGCAGCCCCAGCGGCTGCTCTCGTCACGTTCGTAACCCATCGTGACTTCCAGATTGGGCAGCACTCGGCACGCCAGGAGAGGAGCCATGCTGGACAGACTGAGCCAAAGAGAGAGCAGGATTCAGGTCAGTTGAAAAACATTGAAACAATTGAATTGAATCATATTTACAGACCACAAGTGAAAATGCTTCTATTTGACATTTAAAGCAACTGTATGTAGCGCTGTGTTTTTTTGCGACTTTGGAGCACCCTACAATTAAGTGAGTGGACTTCACTGTCGTAATTACGGAGGATAGTTGGGCCCGTGCATTTGTTGTTGCCGTAAAGCGGTACGCTCTTTTAGCGGTATTTCGTTCCCCTCAAGCTTAATCCAAGAAGAGACATTTGGTGGAGAAAACAGCATTTGTCATTACTAGAATATATATCCGAATAAAAAAAATTTAGGTGAAGCAAGAAAATTTGTACCCAACAGTGATCAGTGTCACTAATTTGATTAGTGATCTAGAAATGGTGCAGAATCTTAAATAGTTGTCATAGACCAGGGCTGTCCAAACTCGGTCCTGGAGGGCCGGTGTCCTTGAGTTTAGCTCCAACCCTAATTAAACACACCTGAACCAGCTAATCAAGCTCTTACTAGGCATAGAAACTTCCAGTCAGGTGTGTTGAGGCAAGTTGGAGCTAAACTCTGCAGGACACCGGCCCTCCAGGACCGAGTTTGGACAGCCCTGTCATAGACCCATCTGTATGTAGTATAAACAAGGACTAAATTCAGATCTTATATTCACAGTTTTAATATTTTAGAGTCATATACCCAATGGGCTTGCGAGCGCGGTGGAAGTCCTTCATAATTCTTTCCACATCATTGTTCAGCTTGCAGTCTTTGCCGTCCTTGCTGAAGGTGGACCTGCTCATGAAATATAAAAGTCAGCAGAAATGCAGTGTTGACACTACTTTTTTCCCCCCGCTAATATTTTTAGATTTAAACATGACATATGAGGAAAAGAAATGAATCGAATCGAATCAAATCAAATCAACCCTTCACTTCTTGAAACCTTGAAGGAACTTTCTCACTTCAGATCTTCAGTTTCTAAAGGTGCTGAAGTGTAATTGGGCAATCTGAAACCGGATTGGGCTCAGACGTGGATTAGTCTCATCCATCGCCTTTATTTCCACTTAGCCTTAACCAATTGTTTGCTAATAGTGAAACATGATAAGAGGATTTTTACTCCAGGAATAGAGATAGATCTGGGGTGACTAATAGTGAAAAGGCCAATCCGCACATAATCTGAGGGTCATCAAAGTTTAAGTATGTTTAGATGGACTCCATAGTGAACTCTAGATGGTCTATACGAGCATCTCGCCCGTCAGGATAATGCACTTCTTTTGGCACGTATTTCTTTTCAGTGACATTTATATTTGCATTAGCATTCATCAGCTAAAAGACTGTCTCTCTCACAGGTTCTTGACTACTCCGTGGCCTCCAGGGAAGATGACGGCGTCAAAGCTGCTGACGTCCAGTTTAGACAGATCGTTCATCTGCATCATGCCCTGACCATGGCTGAATCTCGCAGACTCTATCATCATGTTCCTGCGGAGAGAGAACTCTTTTATCAGATGATCATGGTACTTTAAAATATACTTTAATGGGAACTATCACAACAATCATGTAACGCTCTTCAAACAAAATTCCATGCAGCACATCCAAAAGGCAATGACATTCCCATAAAACATAGTGTTCCTTAGTACTTTTTTGTTATATTTTCACAAGATGAGTGAAATGCGCAGAATGGGAATATGAAAGGTTGTGTAAACAATATATTTAATGTTATATTTCATTTTAATGATGTCTACCTGTTGTCACTTGATGATGGCTGCATCTTCATGTGGTCCATGACGTGCATTTGCTGCTGGTTTGGGGCAAAGATCTGAAAACGGGCTCCATTTCGGCTCAAGTGGTACATGGTGCTTCAAAGAGACACGGCATTATTTATTAATGATACTTGATTCTGATTGGTCAATTACAGCAATTAACTGTCAAAAATATTTGTAAGCTCAAGCACTGAACTAAACCAGGTAACCAAAATAAATAATTTCAGCTCGGGAAAATTTTTTTTTAATTTATTTGGCAAGTAGTCTTACTGAAGTTTATTTAGTGATAATGACCGAGTGACTGTATATTATCCCTTATACAATCCACACAGGTCCATACGTTATAAAAATATAAGAGCATTCAGCCATTGACAGACATGTTTTGAATGGTGCTACTGCAAACAATCATTTTTAAATTATTTTTTTAAATGACTATAATTATTACTTTTCCAATTTATAAGATGTTTCTCAAGAAAAATATCTCAGATCTATTTCTACCTCATTTGCGAATCGTATTTTCTTGACTTAGTCAGAAATGTAACAAAATCCACTGATGAATTTGGTTATTTCTGTAGCTTAAAACTACAAAAATATATTTCTCAATAGGGAACCAAAACTAAATGTAATCTCAGTCTTATCTGACTCGAAAGTACTTATTTGTAAACATTAGTTAACTACATTAGTTAACATTAACTAAGAATGAACAATACTTTTATTGCACTTATTAGTCTTGGTTAATGTTAATCTCAACATGTACTACTACATTATTTCACATGGACATTTTTAACTAACATTTAACAAAGGTTAATACATGTTGTAAAATATATTGCTCATTGTTAACAAATGAGACCTTATTGTAAATGGAGCTTGTTTTAAGGATTCTTCTATGTTTTTACTGATAAACGACCAGAATGATGATACAGGGAATGATATTTTGAAGCACACCCTGCTGAATACTTACTACGCAGCCTCATGGATGTCAGTTCCATCCCACCAACCGCAGCCTGAGAAAACCTTCAAAAGCAGATCCAGTTACAAATTCAGAACCAAACGGAGACTATATATCTTCTAGCGAACAAGAGATTCAAGACTGAATGCTTCCATCGTTTTTAACCTGCCATTTTGTGTGTGTACTTACCACAGCGATGTTGGTGTTGCCCCAGTTGCCCCAGTCTCCCCATGATGCATCAGGCAGGCGGGTTGGCGCACCAGCATGGCTGCGGCCTGCTTGGCGAGGTGTGCCCGTGATGCCAACATGATCACACTGCTGAGTTTACAACACAGAGATCAACCGCTAGAGAGCTGTGCAGACTGAACTCAACGTGTCTGATCCTGCAGCAGAAGAAGCCCAGCTCTTTTATACTAATGTTGAATGTGAGACGTCACTCTGTAAGCTACACTTCTGAGAAGATAAGATACTTTGTCTGAACAACCCTTTTCCTTTCTTCATTGCTTATCTAATAATACCTTCCTCAATTATCTTATTACCTTAAGTCATTTGGTCAACACCCGGCCGTTGATGCTTTGCTGGGGCTGCGGACCTGCATTTACCTCCCTAAACAGTCTGTCTGTCTGACCCGTCTGACCTGTCGCCTCACTCGCAGCTCTACAGTTGCCTAAACTTTTGAAGTTATAATAAAAAATATAAATAAATAAAAAATAAAATATGCGTTTATAAGTAATATATAAAATGTTATAATTTATTTATTTATTTATTTACATGTACAAGAGTTTAGGCAATTTCACAATTTATTATATATATAATTTATTATTTAGGGTCCACACTGAACATCTTTAGCCCTAAAACTTTTTAGAGAGAGAGAAAATGTCTGTGCAGTTTTTATGTCAGTTGTAGTTATTTTAGTACATAAACTAGATTAAAATAAGAAATGTTGCCTTGGCAAGTAGTTACAATAAACATTTTTTATTTTTATTTTATTTCAAGAAACACATTTTTTATATAGTTTTAGTTAACTATAATAACCCTTTGTTGAATTGCCTAGAAAACTGCCATATGCAACATTGTAAAAGAAAAAAAAACTGACATTATTCTGTATCAAACAATTAAAACTTTACAAGCAATGTGTTACTAAAATGTTTTATTGGCTAAACTGAATTAGAGAAACGTGTTGAACGTTTGCTGTTTGAGGCATCTAGAGCATCTGATTGAATTGAACTGAATGAGATCCCATTATTTAATAAGGCTCTTAAACGCAGTAATACTATGTGGTGTCTGCTGGAGGCCCGGGCACGGATCCAGTTGGTTGTAGTCATCAGTTAGAGATCCTACAGGACACACTATAAAACCTTCTCAACGACCAGATTACACTAGTGCACTACAGATGAAACAAATGAACACTTACAGGTCACTGCATGAGTCCAGGACTAATAACAGGAACAAGAACTCTACAAAAAAAAACACAGTGTAATAAAATGTTGCTGGTGCTTTTATTTAATGAAAGTTACAGTAGAATTTAGACTGCATTGTCAAGCTCAAATCATCCAAACACCTTCTGAAACCTTCAGGGAAATTCACATATCGATGTATCTCACCAAATCAAGGTTTTATACGAGATTTGATTGTATATATTTCATGTA